TCCCTCCAGCTATGGGTAAATAGCAGGACAGACTGGGTTCGAAAGCCATGGATGGCAACTGGTCTAGGAGAAGGACAACTCTGACTTCAAAACCTGTGGAGGGTTGTTTAGGGACCTTGTGGCATGTTGTGCCCTTCAAAAAAAAATGTGATTGGTTCTGCACAAAATGCTTCACCACTATAATCAAAAATGTGGTGATTGGTTCTAGGAACTGAAATGCTTGACACTCATATGTCACCATATATATAATATATACATATATATATATAATGTGTGTGTGTATGTGTAGGTATATATATATATATATTCTTAGTGTTTTTGAATGGGCTAACTATAATCTAGTTTTGTTTGATAGTGATTTTAAAATTGCTTGTGGACTTAATGAGCTACATTTTAATTGGACTTTGACATAGTCATTTCATATGTATCTTGAATACATTTTATTGGAAGAATATTTATATTTATATATATATATATATATATATATATATATATATATATGTGTGTGTGTGTGATTACTGTTTTTAAAAATTTGGGTTTGTGTGGTAGTTTGTCATTCATTGTACTAACGCAAACATCGATGTATATATATATATATATATATATATATATAAACTTAGTTTTTTTGAATGATTATCATATGCATTTGTATGTTAACTGTTAATCTACTTTTGTTTTAGTGAAATTTTTTTTTTTTTTTTTTTGATGGGGTTTGTAAAATTATGATAGGTAAAAATTATTATTAAATTATTTATATTTATTTTAATTTTTAGAAAAAAATGGTGTGGTGGGGTTTTTATTTGTTATATTTTAAAGCTGGTTATTTATATTTTGTTATTTGTTTTTGGTGACTGTATATGTAACAGGTAAAAATTGTAATCCTTATTGTTTAATTCAATGGTGATGTTTAATTTAATGTTTTTTGATGTGATAGTAATGTTTCAAAGGATTGGAGACAATTTTAAATAATAGTTATTGTAAACTTGTATTGGTAGAAATGACTTTGGGGGAGAATGATAAAACCTTTATAGCTTGAACTAAAAATTTGGTGTTTTAATTTTGTTTATGTATTATTTATTTTGGTATAAATCCTGATAATAGGTATTCTATGTAAAATTAGTGCTTTATATAATTTTATTATTATTTTTTGTTATGGTTTGTTCTAGTTACATATGGAAATTTATTTATTGTTTTGTGTGTGATGTGTAAGTGGTGGTGCTGTGTGTAGGTGGTAATGATATATATATATATATATTATATATATATATATATATATATATAAATTATGATTGTTGGTGGTTTGTGTGTGTGATGTGTATACATTTTATATATGATTTTTGTTATTTGTAATATATAAATAATTATGTACATTTATATATGTATATTTATATATATATTGTTATATATGTGTATTTGTAGTGATGAATGTATGTACACATATATGTATTTTTATATATATTGTTATATAGATATTTATATATATATTCGTGTGTTTATGCATTTTTTTTTTTATATTAGTTGGTTTTATTTTAAGTGTTGCATTTTTCCTGGACATTTGAATTTGGTGTTTTTTTATGTGTATGCATGCATATATATTTATTTTTTCTATCCATTTCTATATATATATATTTTCTTCGGGTTGTTCATTGATGAATATTTGTTTTTCTATTCTACCTCTCTCAAATTTTATCTATTGAACCTTCTTTTTATCAATATATCTTTGCCCATGTAAGTAATTTTTTAATAGTCTGTTTGAATTCATTTACTGACACTTTCAAATTTGAATATTTGCAGGTGTGTATATGAGTGTGTCTTTATTAATGTATGTGTGTATGATTGCTTATATCATTGTATGTGTTTGTTGTCTGTTTTTTTGGGGGTTTTTTTTAGCCTTGTGGACATCTCTTTCCTGTTTCGTTTGTGTTTTTGCGTATTTATATATCTAAATATGTCTATGTGTTTGTGCATTATAATCTGATTGTGTATGTATTGTCTTTTGCAAGATTTCATACTCCCCTGTCCATATCACCACTTCAAATGTATCTACGTTGTAATGAAGCTTTATGTTCGAATTAGATTAATGTTTATTCTGGGTTTTTGGCCTTTCAATTAAACCAAAATAAATAATATATGTATTTTTTCCCTTAGTTTCTTTAAATAATTTTATAATATTTTAAATTTAATAGTGATTAAATTTAAAATTGATAATTTTTAATTTTCAATTTTTTAGTAAAATATTAATTAGAATGATTTCTATTTTAGTCTTACGCTAACATTAAGGCATTAATTATTATAAACAATGTTCGTTGTCAAGTTTTTTGAATTCTCCTATACTTATATTTTGATTGGTCATTGCAGCTTATGTAACAGTATTTCCTCTATCGAGGGGTATTTGGTCGGCTTGAATCTTTTAAAACTCTTTATTCTACATTCAATACCATCATTTGATAAGACAACAGAAATGTTGAAACAAAATTGGCTATTTTTGTAGTGATTTTATAACATATTTATGTTACAATTTTCCAGTAAATTATATATATATATATATATATATATATATATATAATTTGCTATATTAGTTTTTTAGTTTCTTAAACATTGAAAATAAAATGTACAAATAGCAAGTCAAATATGTGTACCCATGAAAAATAACGTTTATAGTAATAAGAAAATTTTTTAATGTAATAGCCAATAATTATTGATTGACCTGAAATTAAAAAAAATATTTCATTAACTTGAAACATCTCAACAAAAAAAAAAAATAAAAATAAAGATATATTATGTTTACCGACTATGCACTTGACAAAACTAATCTGAAATTCACAAGAAGAAAAAATATAACAGCTTTTGCAATAACAGTTTACAAGAGCAAAGGAAGGTTTTTTTCTTTTTACTGTTAGTCCATCCAATACAAATATTAAGAGCCACTCAAAGTTGAGGGTTACTGAGTGAGTTTGTTGTAAGTAAGGGGGAAGTAAGAGAACATTATGAGGCTGAGTAGACAAATATTGGTTGAGCCCAGACTTAAAGAGAGCAAGATTGTAATTTTCAGAGAATCATTCTCTTGGGAATTTTTTTTTTTTTTTTCGCAAAGTAACAGTTCTGGGAAAAAAAGCTGTCCAAGTGAAACTTGGATTTTTATCAAAGGAACATGAATCGTGATGTAAATTATTTGCCACTATGAACATGACATGGCAGGTCCTAGCTGTGAAGGTCTGAACTGGTGACAGTAAGGAATGTAACTCATCCAAACATCTGTCATAGTATAAGCTGATGTTTTGCCTGTCGGGTAAGGGTTGCAGGATGGAGAATAATTCATCACCCAGAAGTCCGCACAAGTGCTTTTGAACTCTGTCAGGGTTGGACAGTGAGGATTGAGCATCAGCCCAGATATGACAGCAATATGACATTTTTGGTCTGATCTGCATCTTATAAAGATAAAGCATAGCAGCAGGAGTTAGCTACTTACTGAGAAGCTTTATATAATTAATGAGTCTTCCAGTCACTTTACTTATCTCTTTGGGGCAGATATGTATGGATCAGCAGGCATTTTTGTAATTGACTAACCACAACCTACTGCAAAGTCTTTTTATTTATCAAAGGTTTTCATGTTTACTCAAACCAACAGCAACTGAATAAGAATTCTCTTTTTTTTATATCTTATGATCCGTTTTCTACTAGGTCTGCAAATTTTAAATATTATTTTAGATTTTATTTTTGGCAACATTTTCCTAGAGCCTACTGATTTTGTTGACCCTTTTGTGTATGTCTGTGTTCTGATAAGCCTCTGAAATCTTAACACATTAGGTATTTTAACTATTAAGTCTTGACCAATCTGCAGATCAATTTTGTGTAATTTCTGATAATAATAATTTTTTATTGGCTATTTGGCTTCCTGAAGCTGATTTCTTTTAATCAAACATTTTGTGACTATCAGACTTTCAAGAACGCGTAAGACAACTTTCCTCCCAAGCAAGGCAATAAGGCCACTAAGATACAGGGAGTTACTCTGTGTGTAAGAATACAAGGAAAACACTATTAAGGAACGAGAACAATAAAAGAACAGGAATTAAGACTGAATGACTGAGATTGCATTTAAATTTTTGAAGTTAAAGCAAGAAGCCAGAAAAGAGTTCCACAAGCAAGAAGTGTGAGAAATGAAACTGTTAGCATAGAACTTAGTTATATTTAGCCATTTCAACTGTAAAATAATGCGACCTTGCTGCCAATCTAATACTGTGCTTAAATTCATAAAGTCTAAGTGCCATAGAGAAAAGTTCATGACAACAATTACAATGCAAGTATTTATAGAAAAGGCACAGGGAAGCTACATTACAGCAGTGGGAAAGTAATTGAAGCTGAGATGCCAGGTCAGGACCAATAATATTACTGATTCTCCTTTGAATTTTATCAAATTTTGATTAGTGTCCTTTTTTAGTTGTTTTTCACCACAATGGATTTAAAGTATAATTAATCTGATTTGAAACATTATTTACTTTAAGTTTAAAATATCACAGAAATACATTTTTTAACCTGACAGTAGCTGATGGATCAGCAGGCATTTTTGTAATTGACTAACCAGCTGATAACAGTTGTACACAGAATATCAAAGGACAAAGTGTCAAAAGACAAAATGACGAATAGACAAAGTGTCAAATGGTCTACGTATTGAATGGACAAAGTGCCAAATGGAAAAAGAATTGGACTGACAAAATGATGATAGGACAGAAATGTGCCTACAATAGAATACCTTTTACTTAGCATGCAAGTATTCTGCCAGTATATATTTTAAAATTTTAAACTAATATAAAAACCTGCAATGAAAAAAAAAAAATAATTTTTTTTTTTTTTTTTTTTTTTTACATAATTGCCAATTTCTTGGGGTAAAATTATAATATTCCCTCACAGAACCATCTTCTATTTAACCTGAAAGTGTTGATATTTTAGGTTGTTGAATAAATTTTTTCTTCATGTTTCAGCAAATAATAAAAATGGCTCACCTCTCATTACAGTCAGGTCTTCATCCTTAAAAGCAGAATTGCGAACTCTTCTTATTGTCCTTGTCAGAGATTCCTTTTTCGGAAGCTTTCCAACTATGTCAACTGGAATATCACTTGTGCACTGATTTATTATAGATGAAGGTATTTCTTCAGAGTGTTGAGACTTGTCTTTAATTTCACCTATAACTTTCATGGCATCAATATGCAAACTGTCAGGCTGATGGCAATGCTCTTTTGTTTTGCAAATGCTTTCATCTTGAGTTATTGCTCTACCATTGCAAAAACGTCGTTTTTCGCATTTCCAATAGATTCGTTCATCCATCACTTTGTCGACAACATAAGCATAGCCTTCGTAAGATTTTTCTTTCCTCCCATTTGTGTCTTGATAATTTCCATTATGAAGAGTATGGCACAACATAGATCTGAATTACATTTCAAACTGAAGGAATAATTGAATTGTGAAGGGTAGGGGCCTGTTTATAGTCCTTAATGAATATATATATATATATATATATATATATATATATATATATATATATATATATATATATATATATATATATATATATATATGAGAAGACTAAATTCAGTTTGGTAAAAAATAGAGCATAATAAATTAACCCCCCAAATCTGATTGCTAACTGATGATTATGTAGGCGTTGTCACTTTTAAGTATATTATTTATTAAATGATATTAAATTAAATAAAAAGTTTAGAATAGTTTAATTGATTATTGGAACAGAGTTTTTAAAATCATGACGATATGTTTGTTTTTATTTTGTTCAACATTTTGTCCTTTTGAAACTTTGTCTTTTCAACATTATGTCCATTCGCCATATAGTTCAACTCTTTTTTTCCACTCAGCACTCTGTCCATTCGATACTAAATCCATTCAACACACTGTCCATTTGTTATTTTGTCTTTTGACACTCTGACCTACTACTGATGACAGTAGTTGATGACAGATCTAATGTTGTTCTGTGAAGACTTTATCTGTAAAACATAATTGAAGAAAATGACGTGAGCACTGTTTTTATTTATTTTTAAGTACTCAGTAATCTAAAAAATTTATGAAAATATTCTCCATAATTGAATGTTTTATTGAATTTTAGAAATTTTGGTTTTAAATTTACTATAGTCATCGCTCTTATTTTCTGATAATGTTGTGTATGGTCACCCACACCTATAAAAATTGGCATATTAATTACAAAAAAAAAAAAAAAAAAAAAAATCCAAATTACTTGTTGTTTGATGATTTGTATGAAGCTTTTCCATTTATGAATACTAAATATAGTTTTCACTTAATACTATCATTAAAACCGCTGAATACAGAATTTTAAAAAGGTAAATTTTAAAAAGGTAAATTTTAAAAAGGTAAATTTTTCTAATTAAAATTTTAAAAAATGCAAACAATTCTTGCAAAAATTCATTATTCATCCAATTTTTTTTTCCTTAAGACAATAATGTCCTTTATATATCTTATTTAGAACAGCAATTAAAAGCTTTTTTAATTAAATAATGTCAGTTATATTGCATTTTTTATTTCACGATTTAGGGCAGATTTTCGGAAAAGGTGTTTAGACAAAAACAAATTAATAATTCAAATTCTTCAAGGAGTCCTATTTTTAAATAACATGAAGAAATGTTTGGATGTACGTAATTTAAACTTTACTTTAGGTATCGTTTTTTTGTGAGGGGGTATAAAATCGTTACATTGGCAAATCTGTCAACACAACATAATTCCCTTTTTATTAAAAAAATCTTTCAAAAATAAAATATAGTTTCCTGTAACCTTTGAAGAACTTAAATTAACGACCGAAGTTTTAATTCATATGGACTAAAAAAACAAACAAACACAAAACAAAACAAATAGGACGATTTTTTTTCGTAGAAAAGCATACAAAAGAAGTGGTTGTTTATGAGGTGTTGATAGATTTATTGATAGCTTAATGCTTGGTATTTTTATGTAGGGGTTTAACCAAAATTTCGAAGATTCTAAAAATAAAAAAAAATATAATATAAAAAAATCCTTTGGCCTTTTCCCTAAGTCTTATTTTGACGATAAAACTTTGTTCTTAAGTTTGGGGCATTTTTTCATCATATGCTCATTTACTAGCGAGGAGGTACCTACACAAAAAAAAAAAAAGTATCTGAACAAATATTGTTCACACTCACACTTAATGGCGCAAATTATCAACTTTTATAATTGAAAATTAAAATATCTTAACTCCTCCCCACCCAAACAGCCTCACCTTTAAGTTTTTATCTTTTTATTTACTTTTAATTTTTTTGACTTTTGGAGCAAGTCAAACAAATTAAAGTTTTATATACATTAAAAAGCAAAGACAAGGTTAAAGAGAGTTCACTTTTTAAATGTTAGTTTATAAAAAGAAAAGCCTTTTTAAAAACACATGTCACAATACTTTTTTTAAAAGTTACGTAACTTTTAAAAATTAAACCCGTGCAAAATGAACTGTATTCACAAAAAAAAAAAAAAAAAATTGAAATTTTAAGATAAGTGCGAAATCATTAACATTTTTTTATATAAGAGGTAAATTTAGTAGAATAAGATAATAATAAAAAAAAAAAAAAAAAAAACAGGAGATGGGGACTCTTTCAAATTTCATTGCACAATTATGTAATGAATTGCGAATTACAATAAACATCGTTTTTGGCTGACTGTGTGAGTGAGATTTAATGATGTAATTAAGTCCCAAAGATTACAAAAAAAGTAAAATAAATTAAAAATTAAGTAAAAAAGAAAAAAAGTTTATTTTTTCGTTGTAATCATTGTAAAAAAAAAGAATTGATTCGTTTTCTGGGTTGGGTGACAATAACAACATTGACAACATTTCACGAGACAAGATGGTCTCCGGTATCAATTAATTGCTACGCGGAAATAAGACAAAAGTACAACAATAATAATCTTTCAGCATTACTTTCAAAGAGGGGAATAGAGCCAACAAAAGCGCACTCACCAATCACGTCATCATTAGGGCTTTTTTGTACAAGGGACATCCTCACGAACTTCCAGCAGAAGACAATGTTGAAGCGATTTGTAAAATCACGTGGTCACAACAAGAGCAGGTAACTCTCTAATCGTGTGAGAAACAATGCAGAATTACCTTTCTTGCCCTCATTGTCATACGGGATCCAGAACATTCGTCTAAGGAACACTAATATTTAGTCACCCCCCACGAGGGTATCATGTGGCACAAGGCCGGTTTAACGTGGGATCTCCGAGCCCGTGGGCTCGGCCAAAAATATGCCCTTTGAACCGTATAAACGGGTTCAGGGTCGGTTTACCTCCCCGAAAGAGACGCCACCCTTCGGCGTAGACTCGTTCGGGTTCCTCCCCGCCCGAAGGCAGAGAGATCAACCGGTCAGCCGGTCGTCCGACTTCAGACTGAACCAGTCAGCACTCGTCTAAGGAACACTCATCTATGGTCAAATGTGTTAGTATTAATATACAAATAATGCATGCCAATAAATGCTTATAAACTTAAACCACATATATCATCAGTAATTAATATTACTATAAGTATCTTATTTTGTAATAGTGAATCACTGAATAAAATTGACTTTTTTTGTACATGAATAAAATGTTAATTTTTAGATCAATGTTCCTTAGACGAGTATTCCTTAGACAAGTTTCCCTAGTTAAACCTATATTCTTTAGTTTGTTAGACGAATGCTCATAAATCCATCGGCTGCTCAAATCTAGGAAGCAAAGCAGACTGGCTTGCTATGAAAGTTGGCATCCAAATTCATTTCTTTACTTTTTTAACCAACGTGACCGCAATCACTGGTGTCAGAGGAAAGTTAGCCTCATCTTCAACCAACTATGAAGCAGGCGTTTTATGCAAAGTTTTACATCCATTCAACAAAATAAACTGTCTGAAACGCAAATCTATGAATAGTTCATTTTACTTATTTTGTTGATGCAGTGCTGGAATTTAATTTGAGAACAACAATTTCACATTCTCGCTATTTTTTCTATCCTCACTCCAACCTCTTTTTCATTTCAAAACCGGCTCCCCAGGCCTTGATTATTATCAGAGATAATATATTTTCTAACTAAAGAGAGAGCCGGAAAATATAAAAAGGAATTCCACCACCATTATTCTTTCCATGGTGCCATAAAGTCTGGGAGAAACCTCACAGCTTCTTCTCTTCAACCTGTTTTCAGTACCTTCGAAACTGGCTCCCAGGGCCCTGATTCTTATCAGAGATAAGAATGTGTCTTCTGACTAATAGAGGGACCAGGAAATTTGTACAACAATATTGGAGAGAAAAGTCCCCGATCCATCGGAGCCTACCAAAACTCCATAAATTTGGAGAATCTTGCCTATTTCGACAGTGAGATTTCTGCCCACCGTCTGTGAAGTCGACATTAGGGAGCTCCAGCACCTCTTTCACCAAAGAAGAACTACTAAAAAGGGCTGTCAAAAACGAACGTCGGTCCACTATTCAAGACCAATCCAAAGCTGCATCCCTTCACCACTCCTTCTGACGAGCCCACTGGACTTCTGTCGTCGACCAAAAAACTCACTCAGCTGCAGGATTCCTTCATCTGCGAACAAAGTTCCAACTCTACAAGAACTGTGAGTGTATCTATCTGAACCTTAGCAATAATATCTAATCGCTTAAAGAACTCTTTAGGCGCTCAGAGAAATATTTTGAGCAAGCCTTTTTTAAGTTAAGAACATTTTCTCTTTTTGTCGTTACTCACCGAGCAAGATTTTTTTCTTTATTCGTACGCGCCTAAAAGAGAGGGTTTGTTCGCTCTAATCTTGATCGTTTACTTGCGTTTTTCCGCAAATTTTTAAACCTCAACCCTTTGATGCGGGAAAGCCGGGACAAATTTCCTAGCAGCAATTATCACATTATATTTGGATTCATGGCTGTCGTTCTTAATTTATAAATAAGCAACACAGAACATAGTGGAAATCTCTTAATTCTTTTACCAAAACTATTTTTAAAAAATCAGTTCATCAACAATAGTCTAAAAATAAATAACTTACATCTTTAGATTTAACAAACACTTAAAAATAACATTAACACTTAATTTAACAGACATTTTCTTTTTCACATAGTGTTACTGTTATGACTCCTCTGTACAGTATAGAGGCCACAGCTTTACCATGTTAGGTGTTGTTGCTGTTTGTATATATATATATTTAAAGCAAGTAGTTTCTTATTTCATAGCCCTATACCAAACTCAAATTCAGGGTTGTCCTAGACTAGTTACGAACCAAAACTAGAGAATCCATTCTGTCCTGCTATTAAAAATTAATCTATAGCTGAGCGGGGGTGAGATCTGTTCATTTTATACCTTTGCAGGTAAAAGTTGAGAATCGGGGCCATACTTCTGTTATAATAAGCATATGGTTGTGAAAGGAAAGAAATAACGAGGATTAGGTGTTTAAAAATATGTATTTCTTTATTAATATATAGGGTGTCTTACAGACGTGTTGGAAAATCGGTGTATAGCGATTTGCTATGTTTTCCACGCCCACATTTTATTCGCCTGCAATTGGCTAATAAATTACTACTACCTTTGTATAAGACAATTTAACCATTGCAGTCGTTCCTTTGAATCTTTTGGTTCTGAGCATACTTACCTATTCTGTTTAGTACGAGTGTAGTGATTGGTTAAAAAATTAACCAATCACATATTTTTAATGTAAGATCGAGTTTTCCCGCAGTTCTGTGGGAGCCTAGCTTTTTTTCCTTAAAAGCGGCGGCTTTTCGCAAGTTAACCAGGATTTCTGCCACATTTTCACCTTTGGGCGGGACCCGATACTAACACCTATTTATTTTTCAGGTTTCATTACATTCATTGTATATATTCATTGTATCCCCCGCCCTGCTTTTGTGTAAATAAAATTTCATGCTAGGATTCTAGTGGAATAATTGAGGTATTTGTGGTGCGAGAGTTTAGTGCAAATTTGGTATTATGGTGAAAGGTTTATTGTCAGTACGAATGGGTCAATGAGAGCGACTAGCTAGTTACGAGTTAAGACTAGAGATGACCAATCCTTTTCCCCCACCCCAAATTTCGCCCTTGTGGCACATTGTAATTTTTACAAATAAATATTAAGATCCAGTAACACTCCAGCTGTCAACACAAATCCACGATCTTGCTCAACGCACACACAGAATTTCGTAACTACAAAGTTACATTTTCTCTCTGTACTTTCGCCAAGTTCAATCAACCAGAAGTTTATTGATTCAAACCAGTTTATTCACAACACATATCAAGCAATTGTATTCTTCGTGTTATTCATTCTTTACATGCAAACTCTGTTCTAACAATTGTTTCAGAACATTTCTCTCATAAGAGAACTTTCTTCGAACAATTAATTACAAATCAATCTACAGTTAAAAGTGAACAACTTAATCTACTTTGTGAATAACAAATTATTTCATGCTTGTATTTTATTTCAATATATATTTGATGGTTAACAAATTGGAATTGTTATTACTTGAATCTTGTACGTTGGAAGTATAAACGTAGTGCCGTCACGACTGAATCCCGCACGCAGTACCCTCTACAATTGGTGAAACCGACGTTCCAAAAAGAAATCTTTCAACCAACGCAATACAATTGGTGACGCTACAGGTGAAATGTCGATTTCGCTTGCCGATCGTTAATTAGGTGTAAGGGTATTGTTGGGAGTTGACTGAATTCGCGTATTGGTTCAATCAGATATTTGTCAATCGAGGTCACAGTGGTGGGGCAATTGGTTGTCAAGGTGACGAGGAATTAGTGTAGCTGGAAGTCCTGTTTTATGAAATGATGGCTGCATGAGTTGGATGCATGCTTGCAGAGTCAGATTTGCCAATGCGACGGTGTTAGCAATGAGAAAGCCATGTAGCTGGGTGGTGTCAACATTGAAATGATATTCCAAATTCTGTATGTGAAGAGTCAGGTGGTTAGTCAAGCCAGGGAGTGATAAGTCATTGAGATGAGCAGTCATGTTGACTATGTGTAACAGGAGTGTGAAAACATCCTGTCATTTTACACATATGCAAATCAAATTGTAACCTGACACTTGAAAGGAACATATCCCTGTGTGTGTGTGTATATATATATATATATATATATATATACACACACACACACACACACATATATATAGAGAGAGAGAGAGTCCCCAAAGCTTGAGTAGGCAGTACAGAGTAAAAGTATGGACAAGTCAAAACTACATTGAAGAAATTCTAAGCAGAGAGACAAAGTAGAAATACCAGCTTTGCCACCCACTCCACTACCTGTTGTCAGATTCCCCCCAAGTGAATAATTTAATTTAATTAGATTGACACCTACTAACTCACAAACTAGTTAGGGTTAGGTAGAGAATTGAGAAGGGTTAAGTGGATAAATGTAACCCTCAATGAATAAATTTTTAGTCCTGGGAAGCACAGAACCTCTTAATTGCTGTGGTTTCCAGGTTGCCCCTAACCTGGTGTAGTAACACCTGTTAGGATCCCAGCTATCGGCATATACTGAACCCACATCAAAAACAAAACACTATGAAAGTATAAAAATAATGAAGAAAGCAATTTTCAGAAAAGCAACCCTTCTCAATGCCCCAGTGTTGTGCTCTACTTAACCATGAGTTAAGTGTAGAAGCAGTAATGGAATTTATTGATTGATTTGTCTTTTTAATGGCTTATGGGTCATTTAATGCCAAAATTTAATTTTCTTGGTAGTAATAAAAATGTGATTCTGCTTGCATGGTAGATACTCATCTTTTGTGTATATACATATTTGTGTGGACATAATTACTAGTGGTGATATGTGTTTTATGTTTTGTAGAAGTTATATTTTGAAATAGTTTGATTTCTTTAAGAAATATGGATTAATGTCATGAATGAGTTCTTTTGATAGTATTTTAAGCAGGTTTAGGTGAAGTCTAATTTGTTAGCATGTGCCTATAGTTCACATTATATATATATATATATATATTTTTATACTTTCAGTGTTTTGTTTTTGATGTGGGTTCAGTATATGCCGATCGCTGGGATCCTAACAGGTGTTACTATTTTAACAGCAAAACTGAAACCCATTTCCCAATCTATTAAATTCCTGCAGTTGAGGAAAAACTCATTGGAACAATTCCTATGGAAATTGTTATAGAAAAGGCGGAGAGAAGCCATGTCAGGATTGCCTGCATTACAGACCCTTTGGATTTTGTCAATCTTGAGAAAATGAATATCACAGTTGTCCCTCCAAAATCTCAAGCTGGGTAATGCAATCCGGTCAATATCCTCTACTCAGATGTTTGCATTTTTAATCAAAGGAAGTCTCAAGTAAATCTGTTGAATCATTCTCAGTCTGAAAAGGAAGATTTAAAAAGCAATACCTGTTGTCATCCTGGACAGTTTTTATTGTGCTCTCTCTTCACTAAAGTCTTCTCATTCTCTTTCACTCAGTGGCATTACTCACCTTGGTTGGTAAAAGAAAGAAAAAAAAAAAAAAAAAAAAAAACACACACATGGAATGGGAGGCCAGAAAAAGTAAATTTTTAACTAATTCAAGGTGGATTTAAAATTTTATCCCCGCCTTGAAAGCTGGTTAGACATGAACACAAACATAATAGTACTTCTGCCATGTAACCTGTTCAGGGTTAACTATTGAAACAAATCCCCATAAACTGTAACCCTCTACTATAATTAAAAAAAAAAAAAAAAAATAAAAAAAAAAATATATATATATATATATATAAGCGCTGAAAATATTCCCTCAGAGCTGCAGTTCTACAGGAAGGTGGTGAGAATAACCTTGTCAGAATATGTCAGCAATGAGGATATTTTAATAAAAGTAATAAATTTAGAATCAGTATTTTGCCTAATCAAATTTGGGCTGCTATGACAAAATTATGCAAATAATTCCCTTGCTTGGATGAGAGGGGAGTCATTCTCCAGTACCCGAAAAGCCAAATAGGAAATACCAAGGGTGTTCGAGCAATTCCCATATGGATATTTTAAACAATCTCACAAACTGTGCCACATGGGCAAACCCTCCATAGAAGTGCATTAAAAATAGAGCCCATGCACAAAAAGAACAAATATATATATAATATATATATATATATAACCCTTGAGTTTCTTAGATGGCCCCTTTTGAAAAAGCAATTATATAGCATGCATTTTTTTTTTCAAGATGCAAGAGAAAAGTTTAACACAGTACAATTGAAAATACACTAGCAGGCTTTTTATTTCATGTTCAAGAAAAAATAAAAAAAAAAATAAAATAAAAAAAATATCAAGATCAGTCAATCATTTATACCCACAAGACAGTCCCTTTGAGGGAATTTCAGAAACTTTGCAAATGTTATTTCTTTTTCTTTTTAAAGCTGACAAAGAGAAAGTGAAATAAACAGTAAGAAGAGAGAAGCTTGCCTCACTGCCCTAAATGGAAAAATGGACAGAAGGTATTTGTATGTACTGAAAAGAGAAGAAAAGTTCAGAAATGAAGAAAGAAAACATGAAAGTAAACTCCAAAAGTTTAGATGGTGGAGTAACAATTCATCTCTAATTTTCCCAGTTTGTATGCTTTCTAGTTAGATATATACATGTCTCGCACACACACATGTATATGAAATTGATCATGATCAGTCCTTAACAAGATGTCAAATAATAGACACGCATGTATTGTTTTAAGTTTTATTTTAAATGTGTAGGTCTCTTCATTTGTTAAAATGTCTTTCGTATGAGTAGAATTTAAATTCCACAGCTTTTTTTTTTTTTTTTTAAAAACCCCAAAAGAGCTCCATTTTCGCCCTTAAACATTACTTGCATTTTTCATTTTGTTTTAACTGTCAGTGCCAATCTGTGCTTTAGAATTTATGGCTTCCTCTCTAGAAGTATTCGTATCTCAGAGATCGTCATCATCATCAGGCAGTGCAATCCTTTGAGCTTCCTGCAAAGAGTGATAAAGAAAAGAGCCATCAGTATTCATAGAAAGTCACGGTTTCTTTTTATTTGAAATTTAAATCAGCTTCATCTTAAGCAAAATTCTGAGGTTACAGTAACAAAAGAAGTAACATTTCCACTTCCAGTTTATTATTAAAGTGGAGACAACAAAACACTGCTATGGTGACTATTAGCCTTACATGGTTTACATTGAATAAAATTTCTTGGTTTTGAGACATTGCATAATGGAAGTATATAGTCATGCCAGAAGGCAGATAGAAAGATTAAATGGATTATTAAAATCTTGTTAATTTTGGAAATCATACAATATAAGCAACACATTTTCAAACAATTATATAAATAACGTTATTCAATGTATAGTAGAAAATTTGACAGTTTTCAGGTTGGCTACAGTTTATTTTATTTATTTATTTTTTTTTTAACTTTCCAACTTTCAGAAAGCCCAATGCTTAAAATTCCTGTATCCAACTTAATAGGAAAGTGTTATGTTGGCCACATTTGAAAGGTTATATCAGATACATTAAATAGCAGAACATTTCACCTTTTAAAGGATTTTAACAAAAATCAACATTTCTGAATCCTCCAGATGAAAAATGAACACCAATAACACTTCCTGACTGATGAGGACTCATTCTGCAGTGTTAGATTTCAAGAGTTATTTTATTAAAACCTTTTAATCATACTTCAAGAAATGAAATGTCCTTGAATTTCGAGGCACAAACAACCAATTTAACATTAGAATTTTGGCTAACGCTTTATGCTTATATTAGTAACTTGTAAGGTTCAACCACTTCAACAACAATAATATCATTATCAAAAGGCTCTCTTACCTCAAGTTCTTTCTCATACTGCAATGCTAGTGTCTGGCTCATTTCCACTTCTGGGGGTTGCAGAGCAGGCATCTCAACAAATTCAAGGTTTGGATCACCAATCAATTTTCGGGCCAGCCAAAGGAAAGGCTTTTCAAAATTGTAGTTACTCTTTGCACTGATATCATAGTACTGGAAATGAACAAGAAAATATTTTCCCCTTTTAATACACAAATGATTCAAATCAAAACTTTAATGAATAAAAGTTGGCTCTAAGTACAAACTGTAATGTAACCAGAAATTCATAAATAAAAAGATTGAGAACCTTTGTGGAAGGCACAGCATATTTACTGTAGATACTCTTGTAATGTGTGATCTTGCATATTGTGTGACTCCCAAATTTTATCATACAAGTTCCTTTTTGAGACACCAAATTACAATAGACTACCCCCCCCCATCTCTTTATCCAGTCATCTAGTTCAATTGGGACACTATGTAACACTGGTTGATGGAAAGAAACTTGGAATGAGACTAGACAGTTTAAAGAATAGGAATTTCTTTTTAGGGCAGAGATACTTTGATAAAATGATTGTTATACAAGACATTACTACAAAAACCATATGATGTCTGGCTGACAGCTGATTAATGAGGCAGCTTTAAAAAAAGCACGGGTTGTGGAACCAACACAAGAAGAATAGATAAACTCTGGTCTGTAACCAAATCCCGGGAAGAGCCTCCATTGTGTAAAGACCCAGGGTGCTTAAAGTACAATGACCCTGGCAGGTGAGTGCGTGTCCGACTGGAGGAAAAGGGGGTTACCCTAAATTTGGAAGTATAATTAATTACCCAGAACCAGGTAAAAGACACTTGTTGGGGAATAGGGAAACCCGACTCCATATTCACGTTAACCCCCATGCCAGTTTTAAATGGAAGTTAATATAAGAATACAGAGATGACCAAGAGAGTTGGTTCCAGACTAAAGATGACAACTCTGCCAAATACAAAATGACTTGCTGCTAGAGAGAACCTCCGACTCAAGCCTTGTTCCAGACTTAGCTAGTTGAGCATAGTGTCATGATCAAAAAGTGGGACGGGTTAAATTTTTAGTACCCAGAACAAATTCAATGTGTGATCAAACTTCATGTGGGCAGAACAGAGTGACCAACCCAATGGCAGCATTTGACCAAAGCCTGACCAACAAAAGTGTTATAAAATAAGTCAAAGTAAAAAGAGAATGATAAAAGTATTGTTAGTAACACTTTGGTAGTCTTGATCAGCTAAACATCTTAGGGCGCCAAAAGCCACCTGTTACACGCACATAGACTCCCATCAGTTTCAATGTAGGAGGATCTGATAACCGATTCAATTAAATTTTGTGCAATTTAAGTGGCACTTAAGATGTGCTAGTGATTTACAAAGCAGGTTGCATATTGAGCAAGAGTGAGGATTGTGGGATGAGATCACTTAAATTGGCTGACCTTTAAGATATCACTCTTGCTTATTGAAGACAATCCAGACTGAAAACTGCTGAGTCCACTGAAACATGTTGATCTTCATTCTATGCACTCCAAGGTGTTATGAAGTATATTGACAACTGCATTTCAGCTAGTCTTTGTATCTTAGCCATGGGCATCCTACATTTCTGTAGCCCTGATCTAACTGGCTGTACACTAGGATCTTTGGTATCCTGTCAGACATTCAAGACATGAACAGTACATCGTAACCGAGACTGTATGAGACAAGTCTCGATTCCTCCAATTTTACACCTGTTAAACAGGTCTGCATTAGATGTCCTATCTTGAAGGTTAACTCTACAGACGGCACGCAGACAGCTTTTATTGAAAACATCCAGCTGGTGTATATGGTAGCTATATGGAGTCCACGACTGAGCCATACAAAAGGATGGCAAGTACAACAGCTCTGTAAACCTGAATTTTTGTATCCAGTTGAATATCCCGCTCATTCCACAAGTGATGAAGTTTGCCAAAATACACACACAAGAAATAATCAAGTCAGATCTTGCAAGTAGAAGTCATAAAATATGATGACATTGCAAATAATGCACAAGGTCCCACAAACAGTGAAACTTTGAAAAGCCAACATTTATATGTTGAATGCTAAAGGGTTGAGGGGGCATTATAGAGATTGAGTAATGACAATAAGAAAAGCATATATATATTTCAAGAGAAAAGTTCAATATTTCCACATGCTAATACAAGATATACACTTAGCAAATAAAAATGACCAAAGATTGTGTAAAAACTTACCTGCAAATTCTTCTTTCTATGAAAAGTTATGGTCTTTGCCTTAACTTTTCTGTCTTTGACATCAACTTTGTTGCCACATAATACAATTGGAGTATTTTCACACACCCTAACCAAATCTCGATGCCAGTTTGGTACATTTTTGTAAGTGACCCTAGATGTAACATCAAACATAATAATGGCACACTGACCTGAAAAGGAGAAACACACTATGATACAAGCTCTGCAAGAAGCATTAAATCTTAAGAATCATTTAATTGAAAGATCAATTATATCAAATTAAAACTCTTCAGGGTTACATTAATGTTAGAAGCACACCCCTAATTACTCTTAAGACTTACAGAAATTACCAATTTAAGAACAAAGTTTTCATAAAATACAACTGAAAAATAACTGGTAGCACAATTGTGTTATACACCAGGTTGAAATTGACAGTTAATGCCAACAAATCTAAGCCTTTTCAGACTAATAACTAGTTTGACAGCATATAAAGGCTCACTAAAAAAACACAAAAAAACCAAAAAAAAACCCCCAAAAACAAACAAAGTATCTTTTACAATTCCCCTGTGTGTCATATACAAGTCAATTTTGGTAATTATTCAAAAAGATGCAGAAACAATATAGTATATATTAGGTACCTCCACTTTTTTTCGGCAAAATTTTCAATACCTAACTTTAAAATAAATTTTAAAAAATGAAAAAACATGCTTTAAGATTTTATTTTAGCTTTAATTGAAAGTTTAATCATTAAATTTATTATTTCCATTAAGTAAACAATTCTGGTGTATTTCAGATAGAAACTATATACACTGGAATGTCAAATTTAGTTTCGGAATTTTAAGTTTTCTTAAAAATCCCGCCATTTTCTTAATTTTAAGAAATTTGTAGACAAACACAAATTTATCGATTTTAAAAATATTTAACAAAGTTTCTGACACGTTATTTTAGTAAAATTAGAAAATTTAATGTTAAATTAATCTGATTTAAAAGAATTATTACTTACTTCTAGCATAAAAAAGTAGTATACAACCAATTATTAACGATTGGTACTGGTGTTTTTATCCAATATTTGATCTACGTGTTGAGTGACGACAGCTACTACGGATGACCCCAAATGAAAATTATTAGAAATCTGAGTGAACGCTTTTAGTTTTATTAGAATAAAGGGACAAAACTCTATTTATAATAATGGCAATAAAATTAGATAATTCTTTAAACTTTTTTTTTATTATTTAGATAATTCTTTAAACTTTTTTTTATTAATTTCTGCAAACACGTTAACGATGTGTATCTGAACTGGACAGAGGAGAGAAATAACTGCGGTGCCAGACGACACAAATCACGTGACCTTTTTATGGATTATGTCGCGTATACATTTCCATACATAGAAATTATGAACGTTTTTCAATAAAAATTTATTTTTAAAATTATTTTAAAAATATTTTTGTGTAAACGACTGTTATGTGCTTTTCAAAGTTCGATTTGTAAATTTACATTTTCATTGCATTATTTGGCTGAAAGAAATAAAGAATTTTAAAATATTTTTGAAGTATTTAAGACGTTAATGAAAAAAAATTTAAAATGTGGAAAAAATTTGCAAAAAAATACATTATTCATCGAAAATTTTTTATTTCTTCACAAAATAATGTCCTTAGTATAACGTATCTACAAAAACAGGTGTAAGCTTTTCTAATTAATTAAATGTCATACTTTTTTACATTTTTTTTTTTTTTTTTTTACAATTCAAATTTGATTTTCTATAAGAAAAGTAAATGTTTTACAAAAAAAAAAAAAAAAAAAAAAAACTGGTGATTTACTTTCTACAAACATTCCTGTTTATAACTAATAAAAAAAATCCCGGGGGCGTGTATTTAATTTCTTGAAAATATGTAAGTGGGTGGAAACATGTTTAAAAAAAAAAAAAAAAAAAAAAAAATCTTTTTAACAAGATTTTCTGAAAAAAAAAATTTCCAAAATAATTTCATTCATTTCTGAATAAGTCCTGAAAATTTCATTAAAATCCAACAATTATTTCATTTTGCAAGAATTTCCTAATTAACGTGTGCTTTCCTGGAAAAAGCAAAAATAAAACAAACCTTTTTTTAGTACTCTCGCGCTGTCGTAAAAAAAAAAAAACAATTTTTAAGCAAAATTTTCTACGTGCTAGAAAATATTAAAAAATTTCAAAAAATATTTAAAAAATACTTTGGTCTTTCCTCTTCATAACATAAACATAACATAAACAAAACTTTGTTTTCGTTGATATACGAGTCATTTTTAATCGTGATATGCCGATTTTTTACGTGATCTAATGGACATACCTAGTATATATAAAAGACTGGAGGAAAAAAAAAAAAAAAAAAAAAAAAAAAACAAAAAGTTACCTTGAATATAGTAACCATCTCTCAAACCTCCAAATTTTTCTTGCCCAGCAGTATCCCATACATTGAATTTAATGGGGCCTCTGGCTGTGTAGAATACTAAAGGATGGACCTCAACACCTAATGTAGCTGGAGAAGAGACAGGAAAAAAGGTTTAAAAAAACAAGGAAATTACAATATATATCAAACTTTATGGCTTCAGTGGATGGATTCCAGTACAGACAAGCAAAGATTTATAAAGAAATATAAAAGACTTGTTTGTCATTGAATTAGTAATTCAAATTTCCCTCCATAACCAATTGAGGGATATATAACACACCCAAGTATTAATATTAATAACCATTAAAAGTTTAACTATACAACAAGAGTACATACCCACATATTTTTTCTCAAATTCACCAGTCATATGCCGTTTAACAAAAGTAGTTTTTCCAACACCACCATCTCCTACTAAAACAAGCTGAAAAAAAGAAATGAAAATTAGAAAGTAAAAGCATTGTGTATTTAGCTATATTTACAATATTATTTGTTGTTACACTTTTACATGTATTTTAAAAAAAAAATACAATCCCAAAGTTAAGGTAGAACATTAACATTACCCTTATTAAAAGATGTTGCCTTTTCCAATAGAAAGGCCCCATGACACCTTTCTATATGCAGTAGAATGCACATATGAAAGATACATTCTGTAAACACTAATTATTGATCCAGAATTAATTTTCTATCTGCAGTACAAATTAATGAACTTTTAGCTTTCCCAACTGTTCAATATTTCTTGATCATTGGATGACAGGGCTTTTAAGAGCACAATCATTTTTTAAACTATTAAAAAAGAAAAAAAAAAAAGTGAGCTGTCACATTATCAAGTAATTCTAGAATAACCATCTTCTGCAGTAAATGGAAATCTTGTTACTTCATTTACTAGAGAATAAACTGATGTTTAGACATCACATGGCACTTTGCAGAAAAGATTAAAAAAAAATAGTTATTCCCTCAAAATAGCAGGGCATATATTTCCCTCTATGACGGATTCTCAACTAGTATGCTAGGTTATGGCATACAAAAATATAGGTGGGGAAAGTAGTAATTGAAACTATTGTGAAAAGACACCAGGCACAGGTTTCGCCACACTAATGCCGCACGAATAGTTAAATTGGAACAGTGAAATAAAGTATGTGTTTATTTTTGTTTTTTTAAAGCTACACTGTTTTATTTCATAACATTACACACACATTAAAAATTTTGCTAAGAGAGAAACATTGGTGCACAAAATAGCCCGACTAGACCCTAGCTCTGGTAAAATAAATAGTCCAGAAAGAGGACAATTTTTAACAACGCTATGGAGATAGTGGGAAATCACTAGTCCCACCCCAAGAACTATGTACCATGTCAGGAAGATGGCAATCATGGCTCTCCACAAGAATATCGACAATTCAGCAGAGGCATGAAGTTATGAACATAAAAATATTTTGCAACTTAAAAAAAGAAAAACAAATATATTCACACGGGTTCGATGTTCCTTATTTACCAGTATTCATTGATTTATCTTGATATTTGACAACACCGAATCTAAAGTGTTTGAGTTTAACTCTCAGAAGCCAGAGAAACTAACAATCCATTTTCATTTATTTTAAGAAGCAACATGTTAGTTACCATATATGAATTCCAGCCCATCCCAAACAGGAAGTTTTTAAAGACCCCACCCCAATGTCTCAAAGGATACAAAGGTTCGTTATATAAACAGTTACCAGCATCTAATTCATTGTTTTACAACAAGATATAAAGCTAAAAAAAAACTCACCTTAAATGTTGGCATTTCTTTATCAGCCATGTTTTCTGTCATTCTGTTGTAAATATAAAAAACATAACAAACAGTTCCAGTCCAAAATGAACAAATTCAAATTTAATTAGTCTTCGGAAGTTTGGCATTTAAAAAAATTAAAAATCTATACATTTTAACGATGAATGCCTATGTCTGCGTTCTGCACCTAAGTCCCAAAAAGTTATAAAAAAAGAAAAGAAAAAAATGTTATCTATACAACTCAACTGATTAACAAACCCTGTTATAAATATAGCACATTTCATTCGCATTTTTCCTTTAATGAAAAAAAAAAAAAAAAAAGATAAAAAAAAGTAAATAAATGAAGCGAGTGCTTCATTTATTTACTTTTTTTATCCTTTTTCCTCAGATACACAAAATTGCTTTTATATATAAAAGACTTGGTCGCCGGCCGGTCAGTCAAATAAAAAAAAAAAATGAAGTTACTGCAGTGCTAATTAAAGAAAATAGATGTCTTAATTTACTGTTACAATGAAAAATGATGATCAAATTATAACTTTTCCTTTATCAACAATGCCTGGCCAGAGTTCAAGTTTGGCACTTAAAAATTAACGTTTTTTTCTTTAAAAAGCATTTTTTGCCTTGAATTAGCCTTGGTATGACGCAATACTTTCCTTCCTTATGCATTGTTTAAAACAAAAAATAAAAAGATTGTATGTCGATTTCACATTGCAATGAAAAATTAACGTTATCAGCTTAAATATAAATAAAATAGGAAATACATTTTAAGTACTGCAACATACATTTGTTGCAATGAAAAATTGCATTAAAAATCTAGTTATTTAAAATGTCCTGAATAGGAATTTACTAGAAATACATTTCCGTAAAAAAAAAAAAAAAAAAAAAAAACTGCAGGAGTACAAGTCTTTTTTCGCGTACTACATAACTTAATCCAGTTGTAATAATTAATAAACAAAGCTAACCAAAATAAGTTTATAATATGAACCGTAAACATGAAAATTACAGGTTATCTACACTGCAAGGAAGCCAAAGCAAAAAGAAGAAAAAGATTAGAAAACTGGCGGGAGCTGGTTTTGTGTCAAAAAGTTGGATTTTTTATGAGCAGCAGCAGCAAACAAACCAGAAGCAACCGACTTGCAACGACTATAAATCTGATCAAATAAACTATGAAGGACATTTTAATTAAAAGAAAAAAAAAAAAAAAAAAGAAAAAAAAAAGGGGGGGGGGTAGACAAGGTTGGGAAATTTATGTAGTTATCCAAGACAAATACAGATTCATCTAAAGAGGAAATTACTTTCTTCAAACCCCCACGTGGGGTAAATGCTAGACATCACGTTTCTCACACACACACACACAGTGTGTGTGTGTGTGTGTGTATATATATATATATATATATATATATATATATATATATATATAAAAAGGTTCAACACGTACAAAAGAATTTTAAGTTTCTCACGCACATAATCTGTATATATAAAAAAAAAAAAATCATCACCAGTTGAGTTAAGAAAATTTCAGAAATTATTTAATATTTACAGAGATTAATATACGATTTCATTTACTTTCCTCGATTGTGTATATATATATATATATATATATAAAAGGCTTTCTAATAAAGTCAATTAAAAAGACAAAAGGATTTAAATTGCTGCTGTGATTTGGTGAGAAGTCGGTTAAATCAAAAGAAACGTAATTAACAGAACTCTTTATAAACCGTAAAGGAATTTAAGATAGATATAAAAAAAAATAAGTATTTCGTATCTTTATGAAAGAAAAAAAAAAAAAAGAAAAATTAACACTGGAATCATTAAGCCTTTTTTTTTTTTTTTTTAAATTTCAAAAGTCAAGATTATAGATTTAAACTTGTTAAACATTCCTAATTAAAATTCTTTTGTACAGCTGAACCTAGAGTTCTAATCTCAGGAAAATTCAAAGTTTTACAGCTTTGGCTTTATCAAGATAAGACATTAAATGTTACCGTTTAAATACCATTTAAGATTTAAAAAGGACCCACTTTTTTAATGTCATCTGGGGGTAGATCTTATCAGAGCCAAGAGTAAATCGAAGTTAGTGGGGGGGGGGGAGGGTTCGAGTTTAATATATTTTTTTTTTTTTCAAAATAAAACCAGATATGAAAGGCTAGTACAATAAAAAAAAAAAAAAAAGTTATAGATTTTCAATAAAATAGAAAATTAGTTACGCCTTTTTAAAATCACTCACGAAAGAAATGGTCACAAATTCGGGGACCGTATTTTAATTCCAACCCTGTAGAAATTTGTACCCCCACTTTTGAATTTGAGCGTGTGAAGTTACGAAAGTGTTAGTCACAAAGAAAGAATATTCTGGAAAAAAATACGTAAGATGTCGTAAAAGGCAGAGAAGGAAATATTAAAAATCAGTCTAAATACCACAGGAATAGAAGACAATTACAACAGAGACGGTTGAAACGTTAGAAACTGCGTATGACGCTAGCGATCGAATAAAGACACTTCCAGAAGGTTGAGAAGCGGCCGGTGTAGGCAGAGAGAGAAAGAGACGAACTTGAACGAAGAAATAAAAATTAAAAAAAACAATTTCAAAACGAAAAAGATATCCTGTTAATTAAATACTTACTTATTAGGGGTTCTCAAGTGTAACGAGTCAATTCAGATATGAAGATGATCACGATTATCAACAGAGAATACTTCTAGCTTAGACACTAGAGATTTATGGCGCAAAATCCGACAAATGGCGAAAGGATACCCAGAAAGCAGTTCAAACCGGTTTTCGCGCGTAAAACCGGATCATCTTCGGCATTTTCCGTGACTCATTCCGGTTGTAGTGAAATAATTTTAAGAACAAAATTTGAAACTTTCGTTAAAAAACTATATTTTATAAGCTTATACGTTTAAAAAATTAAGAATTAAGAAGCAAACCAAAAATATTAAAAAATGTTATCATTTTTGGCTCAGAGGCTGCTTGGAAAATGTCACGCATGCGTAATTGTTATCGCCATATTGAAAAAGTTTGTTGTAACTTCAATGTGCTGCTTAGTAGTATTTTTTTTTTTCGATGATAAAAGTTTCTAACCTTATTTTGCTTTGGGAACGAAGATAGTATTTTATTATTTATTCCAATGAGAAAGTTTTAATAATTCAAAGTTTAGTTAAATTTTTACGTGAAGTGTTAATGTTCACTAAATTGTACGAAAAAATGCTTGTGTAGTCCAATGAAACATTTTTTAAAATATCGAAAAACTTAATCCGCGCAGTTGTCGCAAAAAAAAACAGAACTTGATTTTTTATTAATCAGATGATAATTACCTAGACATATTTTTCGGAATTACTTTTTAGCCTTTTATAAATTTGTGTATGCATTTGGGTGTACATTTTATTTACTAAAAAAAAATGTATATAAAATGGAATTTTTTTTTTATCAAGAAAATATACAATTTTTTTTTTTTCCAATAAGATATTTTAATTTTCCAGCAACAACAAATAATTTTATTGTAGTCGTTACTTTTCCTCACTTTTTTATTGTTTTCCTACTTAACACTTTGGTTGCATCTTTTTTTTTGAACATCTTCAATTTATTATCAGAATCTCTCATTTATTTGATGCAAGTGTCCGAAATAAATACAATTAAAAAAATATTGCTTTGGATTAAGTAAGCTGTTATTTATTAGCAAATATATAAGTTGTTTAAACATATATTTTAAAATCATTGTTCATTTTTCAAACTAACCACTCTATTTTTCCAAATATCAAGCGGTCAACAAACCTTATTTTGAGGATGTGTGTTTTCTCCCTTAACCATCAGGCCCAATGAGTGGACCCAGTGCCCTGAAATTTGTGCATGCCCAAGGGGCCATAAAAATAAATTAAAATTATTAAGTTTCCAGAATTATCTTGATTTATATACCACTTGTACCTCTGTTTAGGCATGTTAAGTAAGAATTAGTTCTAACATATTGGGACAAAATTATAATGAATAACTTTGTTAAAAAACAACAAAACAAAAGAAAAAGTTTTTCATGCATCCTGTTGGGATTCATAGGTGGTCCCCAATATTGGGGCCAATACTGTTTTCAACAGGTCTGGTTTTCCCTATCATATATTCAGACAAAAGAAAATAATTTTTGTTTGCCATCGTCTTTATTTTTATCATATTTCGATTATTTTTCGCTCCGGCCTTCTTCAGATGTTTGTTGAAATTACCTGAAGGTTACTCAGATTAACAGACACCTGAAGAAGCCAGAAGGGAAAAATGGCAGAAACATAGTAACAAAGAAGAGGACAATAGTTTGAATATAAATCATGTAAATAAAACTATAAATTTGTTATTAATAATTTATAAATCTTCTATTCTTTTCTCACCGTTATGACTAAGTGATTTATTTATTTCAATTTATATAGTTTGGAATAGAAATACATCTGCTTTATTAGTGCATGACAGGAACAAATCAAAGTTATATATAACAGGCTGTTGTATCCTTAAAGAAGGTTACAAACAGATAAAGGTGGTACTCGAGTGAAAGGAACAGCAACATGGGCGTAGATGAAAGAAAAAGAGATTTATTGTAAAAGAGAATACACTACTGAAAGACAGAGAATCGGTTAGCAAGCTAGTAATTCCTGAAGCAAGGTTATTTACCTTACCTTCCCACAAGGCAGGCTGTGGCACAAGGCCTTATTTAATGCAGGGCAATACTGAGCCTGTAGGCTTGGGCAAAAATTTCCCATAAACCCTATATACACTGGGTTAGGTAGCTGTCTACCACCCCAGACAAGACTCAGCCCTTTGGTATAGCCTCATTTGGGTTCCTCTCTGTCCGAAGACAGAGAGTTCGACCAGCACAGCTGGAAATGAATCTCCAACTAATTCCCAAAACAAGGTTATTTACCTCGCCTCCCTGTGAGGCAGGATGTGGCACAAGGCCGTTTTTAATGTAGGGAAAAACCGAGCCCATAGGCTCATACAAAAATTTCCTGTAGACACTGTAAAAAACGGGGTCGGGTAGCTGTCTACCACCCCAGACAAGACTCTGCCCTTTGGCATTGTCTTGTCTGGGTTCCTCTTTGCACAAAGGCAGAGAGTACGACCAGCATAGCTGGAGATGAATCTCCAACTAATTCCTGAAGCAAGGTTATTTACCTTACCTCCCCATGAGGCAGGATGTGGCACAAGGCCGTTTTTAATTCGGGGTCAAAACCGAACCTGTAGGCTCAGGCAAAAATTCCCCATAGACCCCGTAAAAAACAAGGTTGGGTAGCTGTCTACCACCCCAGATGAGACTCTGCCCTTCGACATAGCCTCATCTAGGTTCCTCTCTGCCCAAGGGCAGAGAGTTCAACCAACATAGCTGGAGACGAATCTCCAACTAATTCCTGAAGCAAGGATATTTGCCAACTGCCCCACGCAGTCAGATGTGGCACAAGGCTGAATTTAATGTGGGGCATCCGAGCCCATAGGCTTGGGCAAAAATTTCTTGTAGACCCCGTAAAAAACGGGGTCTGGTAAATGTCTATCACCCCAGACAAGACTCTGCCCTTTGGCATAGCCTCATCTGGGTTCCTCTCTGCCTTAGGGCAGAGAATTCAACCAGCATAGCTTGAGACAAATCTCCAAGTAATACCTGAAGCAAGTTCCCAGGTATATCCTGTGCACACTATATATATCTACTGGTATAGTCAGTGCACAATAGATGATAGGGAGAGTGGGACATTCCATTACAACACAGGGTGTGCACTTAGCCTTGCTTGGGTTTAGAAATAGACAAGATAAATACAGTTGCTTCACTATACTTTGTATTAATTGCTTTAAAAAGAATCAACATTTCTGGACTAACTGAAGCAATTAATACAAAGTATAGTGAAGCCATGTGAGTATCTATTTTATTTATTTCTAAACCCAAGCAAGGCTAGGTACTCAGTCTGTTAATAAACATTCATATGAAAAGAAATAAACAAGCAAAACAGTCAGTTAAGTGTCATACATGATACATGCCTGGGTGATCATGTCTCTTTTGATTCATAAATAACTAGGCAGAGTTTTTCCAAAAGTACATTGCTGTTTTTTTTTGTGATAGACTGGTTGCCAACCAAGGCTATAGGACCCAATCTGCCCTGCTATTCAACCCATAGATAGAAGAGATGGATTCATACCTTTGCCAAGTTTATTTGCATGTAAGTGAAAATAACAAACCTGACCAGAATTTGAACTCAGCCTTCCAATTTTTCATTCCAAGTCAATATCCATCACACAATGCTCATACATAAAAATAAAAGATTTAAAGAAATCATCATCATCATCATCAGTCCCATGATCCAGGTGTGGTTGTAGGGTCACTGAGCACTTGACCAGCTTCCTCCATATGTCTTGGTTGTGTGTTATGATCCAGAATGATGATGACATTTCATCATTCTAAAAACAACATTTCCACCAGTGATGAATGATAATAAGTATGTTTCATCATCCTAGAAATATAAAATAAAATAAAAATTTCATCATCTAAAACAATCTGGCCACCAGTGATGATATATGATGATGATATTTTATCATTCTAAAAATCTGAAACTTCATCATTAAAAAAAAAACAACCCTTCCACCACAAGTAGAGTAGAATATCAGTTGTAAAAAGAACAACACAGTTGTATCTTCTTTATTACATAAAAATCCACAGTTAACGGTCTCAAATGCTCCCCTTAACAACAAAATTCTTGGAACAAACAAAAACGAAGTAAGCACAAACTTTTAAAGAAACAAAAGAGACAATAATGAGAATATTTTAAACACACAATACCAATATTGTAATTGACATCATGAAAAAAAATACACATTCTTGTCATTAATTTAACACATGTCTCAAGGTTTCATTATTTGTTATCGTTGTATGTTTTATTCATTTTATTTCAAAAACAGTAAAAAGGATTCCTCTATCAACTACTCCTACAAATATATATAACACGGGGTAACTTACATTACACATACCCAACAATTCAACCCCATTACATGTGTTAATATATGAGTCTCTGTGAAGGATCTGCCGGTTCACGCAGTGACATTGTCAGCCTATTTTTTACTCTGTTTGCCTTTCCTCTTGTTGCTTAAGGTGGAACCTTGTAGGATGGCATTGGAAAGATTGTTGTTTCTTATGATATAGCAACATGATTTTGTTTTGTTTTTTAATCATTCCACCCCAAGCAAGGTAATAAAGGCACTATGACAAAAGGAGTACTGAGTGTGGTGGAAACTTTTAGGATGGCATTGGAAAGATTGTTGTTTCTTATGACATAGCAACATGATTTTGTTTTGTTTTTTAATCATTCCACCCCCAAGCAAGGTAATAAAGGCACTATGACACAAGGAGTTTTGTAGTGGAACCTTTAGGATGGCATTGGAAAGATTGTTGTTTTTATGATATCGCGACATGATTTTGTTTTGTTTTTTAATCATTCCACCCCAAGCAAGGTAATAAAGGCACTATGACACAAGGAGTACTGAGTGTAGTGGAACCTTTTAGGATGGCATTGGAAAGATTGTTGTTTCTTATGATATCGCGACATGATTTTGTTTTGTTTTTTAATCATTCCACACCAAGCAAGGTAATAAAGGCACTATGACACTAGGAGTACTGAGTGTGGTGGAACCTTTTAGGATGGCATTGGAAAGATTGTTGTTTCTTATGACATAGCAACATGATTTTGTTTTGACAACAAGGTAATAAAGGCACTATGACACAAGGAGTACTGAGTGTAGTGGAACCTTTTAGGATGGCATTGGAAAGATTGTTGTTTCTTATGATATCGCGACATGAT